CCATCGGGATCTAAACCATCGGGATCTAAACCATCGGGATCTAAACCGTCGGGATCTAAACCGTCGGGATCTAAACCATCGAGATCTGAACCATCGGCATCTAAACCATCGGCATCTAAACCATCGGGATCTAAACCATCGGGATCTAAACCGTCGGGATCTAAACCATCGGCGGATGTGTGTGGCGGTGTGTTTTTTTTTGAGCGTTTTGAAAATTGGTTGTTTATTGTTCATTTTGTTTTTGTATTAACATTATGTATACATTATAAGAGGAAAACGAAAACCAAAACACGTCGTAAAAGATGACTTCCAAGATGAATATCTGTAAGGTCTAACAAGAATGGCGAAAAGCTGTGCGCTTCGGTCTCCTCGGTGAACACGTTCTACTGTGCCGCTGCCGTGGTCGCCAATGCGGCTGCGAAGACCAGCGACACCGGCACCGCCAGTTGCCCTGCGCTCGAAGCCAAATTGGAGAAGGTCTCGCAGGCTGCTCAGCTCGCGGGTGGCAGCCAGATTCCTGGCACCGCGGCGTTGGACTTGTCGGGTGGCAGCAGCGACACGACGGTAACGACTGCTGCGCCAGTGCGCGACCCTGGAACCGTCGTGCAGTCGACTATGGGCCTCGCTTTCGACATGCCAGACACGATTCAGGAATCCTCTCTCAAGAGCCTCTTCGGAGACCCGATCCAGGAGGGTATTGCGAAGGCGGCAGGAAGCACAGTGCAGAAAAGCTGGGTCATCGTGAACGAAATCAAATTCGGAACACGTCGCGAACTTGCAGAGAATGTGAAACGTACTTCCTAGTCCTATGGAAACTGGAATTTCCAGTTTTTTGAACTTGTATTTCTAAGTCCTCAAAAATGAAGATGAACACTCCGTACCAGTAATCACTGCAACATAATATAAACATGATATTATGTTGTATATTTAATCAACAAGTTTGTAGTTCATCACGACGCACACGCCGTAGTCCATTTTCCTTACGACGATATCAACTCAGATCGCGCTTCAATGTCTGCGTTTCAACGTCGTTTGGCTGCCAAGTCGTTGGCCGTCGATTACTCGATCTATGTGCCGAATAACGCTACTGGGGCTAGCTCTCTGGTCCAAGCGCTCGCGACGAAAATGAGTTCGGGATCAACCACGTCAGCCGCCTTCCAGACCTCGCTGGCAACACAGATTCAGGCAGCCACTAGCGCAGCTTTGGGTCCGACGTTTAAGGTCACTGGTGTCACGGTCACAGGGACAGCGTCGAGGACTACCGTTGGCGCTGCCGCCTCCTCCTCCGCGTCTGGCTTCAAGGATAGCTTCAAGGGTGGAAGCTTTGCTCTCACCCTGCTGCTGGCGATCGGTTCCTTTTTGCTTCTGAGCTAAAAACTCATCTTCTTCATCACTGCTCAGTAATAGATACTACAGAGATGACGAGGAGGAGAATTACTTAGGCTACATAGAGGATGCCACGAGTCAATTCGTGGCTGGTGGAGGTGATAAAAAAGGGGAGGCTGAATTTTTATGAAGCTGTACTTATAATATAAATATGTAGATTTTTTTTTTGAAGATGAATAGAAGAAGAATAACGACTGCAGGCACGACTAGGTAGCTGTTCTAGAACTCTCTCGTTTACTAGTCTTCTTTTTGAAGATCAGGAAGACAGGAGCAGCACAAGAACTTCTGCAGTCAGTCGCGGGGAAACGTCACGACGGAGTTTCTTGAATAAAAGAGCATGGGTTGCAGGAGCAAGAGCATGCGTTGCAGGAGCAAGAGCATGATCACCAGATGGTGGGCGACTGTGTCGTCGTATGCAGATCAATCGCTCATGAAATCTTACTCATGTCTTTCTTCATCATCAGAATTTGAATCCATAGTTTGCAGCATCCTGATAATCATGAGAAAATACGAAATACTTGTCGATAGAAATAGCATTCTCCCTTCATGATACGAACGAGAACGTAGACCACAGCATTCAAGTCAGTAGTAATCGCATATAAAAAAATGTCGTGACGAGACAGTTGTGAGCAAAGGTCGCCAATGTTGTGCGACCCCGGGTGTCACCTAAAGCGTGAGTAGACCACAAGTTGTAGTTTCAAAAAAGCAATAGCAAGTCCTCGTGAATAGAAAGAGTCTTAGGTTCATGTTTAGTGGTCGTAAAGCTTGCTCTTCATTGTCACAAGATGAAAAAAAGAAACGAATGCAAGCGGTTAGAAGTAAGGCTGGTAATGATTTTGAGTGGTCGTACATTCTACAACATGGTTAAATAATGTAGATGTTGTCATGGACATGGTTATTAAATGATCATCCTAATATGAGGAGGTCCTGAATGAAGATCAGCTGACTTCTCAAGGATGAAGATGATCATCCTAATATGAGTCTGTCCATGACTAAGGACCTTTTTCAGCAGCGTCCATGTATTGGGTCTTTCATCTGTTCATCGTCCTAACCATGCTGGTTACTTATTTTGTCATGCAGCTGTTCCTGCTCTTGATCTTGTTGTGTTATCACTACCAATCGTTCTTCACCATACCGAAGAAAAACAGAAAACTAGTTGGTACAAAGGATAGAAGAAATTCCAGAGATTTTCAAGGTATCATGCAAATAGGCACGATTTTTGTGATATGGCTTGCTAAGCCTGCTTCGTCGGGAAGCCGCGAATCACCCATGATGCATCGATCGATCGGGAATGAGCTACTATGATATACGAAAACGTCGAATTCAGATTCATCACGAAAAATATGTACCAACGGATCACTTTCTTCACCGAGATCGATCCAAAGCCATGTTGTACCGAAGAGCAAGAATTTTTTTGATGTCCGAAGAGCAAGTAGAGCTATCATAGAAATGAGTCACAAGAAATTGTTGGAATCTCCCTTTGCGTGTGACCAAAAAGTTAGTAGTCGAAGTAACTATTAAGGTCCTTGTGCGTGGTCATCGTGGTCGCGTGTTCGTTCTCCGGGATCATCATGAAGCTGAAAAAGCAAAAACTCCGCGTCTGGTGTCTGTTCTTCTAGTTCTAGTTGGAGATTGATCTCCTCGTCCCATTATTATACTGGCTCGGACCACCCCAGCTGGTGCGCTGTCCATTATTAGAGGTTGCGACATTGCATTTTCAGATCATCCCTGAACTTTTTCCTACTGGAAAAGAAGTCAAGGATGGTAGTGAAGAATGCAATGCAGTAAACCTTAACATTAGGCCGAAGACTTCTTTGAAATTACAATTGGAGGGAGATAATAGTAATTATACCCACAGTCCTCGTCACGGTCAATACCTTGATTTTCCTGTGACGATTTTTTTTCAATTTGTCATGACCAGACGACCTGGAATTATTTTTGATGTTCGATAACAATAACATGCTTTTGCTTGATATTCACTAGAAATAGAACAAGAGGATGGATGAAGATGAACACGAACTACAGGAGGACATCAAGATGTCTACTACCGAGAAAACGAAATGTGGTAAAGCACAAGCGCCGCTACTTGCTGGGGAACTACAACAAGACGACGTTGATCTTCCTGGAAACGTAGTTGTAGAAGCCGCTGGGGCTGGAGTTAGTCGAAGCGTAGAACAAGACGCAGTAGACGAAGATGCCGACCACGACCAAGAGGATGTGGAAGAGGAGGAACTCCCAGAATCCGTATTTGCATGTCTCGAGGCTGCTTTGTCAGGAGACTTTGACTTTTCGCTCGTCGATGATCTTGGCGAAGTAGAAGACGGAGAGGGGCGCCACGTCGGAGGAGGTCCTCTAGGAGCACCAGATCTAGGTCGTGGTTACGAAGATCTTCTTCAAGACGCTGACTCATCTAGTTGTAATGAGGAAAGTATTTTTAAGGAAGATGTCGGGCAGGAGTTGACGAGCACAGGTCCTCAAGTAGGGCAACTACAAGGTGCTTCTTCCTCCTCTGAGGGCGAGGGCAAAGAAAAGAAGGAAGACAAGGATCCGAGCAAGATGTTGACGAGTAATCGAGTAGAACAAACCAACAGCACGACAGTTGTATCTACGAGCAAAGAGGACCACAGGGTGAAAAAAAGCGGAGTGCTACCTGCTCCACCTCTGTCTTCCGCAACAGAGAACAAAAAGATTGCGCAGAGTGAAGAAATCAAAGACGAAGCACAGCGCAAAATCGCAGAGAGGCGCAGACTCCTGCAGCAGAAACAGGCGACTGAAAAACTCTTAAAGAGTCTTCAGGTGGACGATTCTCTTCGCACTGGCGTATTGCGGGACCTCTTTTCGACGAATGGTGCCATCAAGAGCAGTGCTGCCGTTCGATCGTCATCGTCTTCAGCTACAGCTGGAGCTGGAAAAGGCCCCTTAAAAAGTTCAGCGTCACCTCCAGATGATATTCTTGTTGGAACAATCGCAGCAAATAACAAGAACGATCAAACAGGAACGAAAGGAGGAGCGCAAGCGAAAAATGGAAAGGTAAATTTGATCGGAGATGTCGTGCTACTCTATTCAGTTTGATCCACCTTAATCTGTGTAAGTAACTGATACGAACTACAAGAACTCCACAGGCAGATCGCTGTGTGATGATCAATAGGGACGAATTTTTATTATTCGAACATCCTTCATCTCCATCATGGTCGTTTCGGTAGATTTTTATTTTCAACATCAGATTTTCATCTTTATTTGCATTTGATTTTGTCTTCTTAGGTTCGCGCTTTGATTGAGAAAGGAGCCACCTTGGTGCGTGTTGGCAAGGCGAAAGGAAAAGGCGACCTCTGTCGTAAAGGCGTCACCCTGATCAAGGGCGCGGCCAGGATTAAGGGTAAACCAGTACCTGAGAATATCTGGAAACGTCTGCTAACCACGTCTGACCAGACTGCGAATGGTCGTGTGCAGCAAGAGATTGGTATACAGCTACAGCAGGTGACTGGGAGGACAATATTAAATAATAAAGGGAGCCGCGCCGGAGCAGGTTCGATGGTACTACCAGCGCCTTTCTCTACCAACCATGTTGAGGCACTAAAGCGGATCCGAAGCTTTGCTGCGGCGCTTATCGGGAAAAGCAAAGAATTCCCGAATCCGGCACCACCCCCTCAACATACTACTACCAGCGCCACACTGATGCCCCCTATGATTAAGGCTTCCCGTAATTCATCTGGAGAAGCATCTTTGACGCGTTTTCAACGGGAAGGAACGTCAAAGATGCTGTCAAAGATGAATTAAAGCAAGCTCTAATATAAGTTCGAATTCCATCAATGCTGTAGCCGGTCGAGGTCTGCCTCCTTCTTCAGGAGCATTGTTACCAGGGAAAGGCCTGGATCCCGGAAGGCGGAGTGTACTTCACTCATTGATTTCTTCGACTTTGTCTGGCGGCGGTGGGAGCTCATCTAGCACAGCACGTCCTCCTCCCCAGATGTTCCCTTCGTCTTCTCAGAGACAGCAAAACCAAACTCAGATATTACAGCAAAACCAAAATACTACAACTTCTAGCTCCTCCTCGTGGTCATTTCCGCAGCCCCTAGCGGCTGGACGAGTTTTTACCACTTCGTCGTCTCTGATAGCGCCGCCACCTGGCGTTTCACCGACAAGCAAGAACAATAGCGTCAATCTGCAAACGCCGGAACGAGCTGAAGCAGATGACGAAGATGCTGATTACGACTTCACAAAAATGCCGCAAGATGAACAAAACGACAACAAAAGAAGCAGTCCTGATAGCGCGAAAAGAAGGCGCAGATCAAGCGGCAGTTTCTTACCAGGACCTTTCGATGTTCAGGTCCTGCTCGTACAACAGCGACCACCTCGTCCACAAGTAAATCCTATTCCTACTCCTACACCTTCTCTCGTCAACATTGATCGCTGCAGAAATGATAATTCTCATTTATTTGGGAACGACGGGCATCTTCAAGTAGACCGCGCAGCCGAATCTACGTCATCATCATCCGACGATGAGGAGGACAGTTCATCTACTCCTGTTGAATCTTCTTCTAACAATCTAGTGGGAGGTCGTGATGGAGGAACAAAAGGTAAAAAGAAGCGACGGAAATGGTGGAAGCAACAAGAGGCCGCTGCTCAAGAAAACTTCGCGATGACTCGTGCAGTCGGAGAACTCAGTGCGAAAGCTGCTGGTGGTCCCCCGAAGAAAGCACCCTTGCCGCAAAAACCTGAGGCTCCCACAAGAACTACACCAACTACAGCGACAAACGGTAATTTTAGAGGTGCAAGTACTACAAGTACTAGTACAACTACATCCAAGATGAAAATGTTCCTTAATCAGCAAGGAGGCAGGAATGGGCCTCCGCCGTCATCTTTCGCAGCACCAGGACAAGTCCGAAAATTTCCTCCACCACCACAGATTACAAACTCATCGACGACATCACCTGGCCCAACAACAGTAGATCCAAGATCTTCAGCAGCAGATCCAAGGTCAGCAACGTCTCCTTCAGCGAACACTAGTAAAGGGAAGGGGAACAAAACCTCTAAGCAACCAGGAGTAGCATCATCTAATTGCACTTTAAAAGCTGCAGAAGCAGCAGAGGGAGACGACGATGATGAAGATGACGGACCACCCGAACCCGTTGTGTCGTTCCAGGATCTTCTAAAAGTGAGAAACGCGCATCTGCACTCAGAGCAGCGAGAAAAAGAACGCTTAGCCCGTAACTTTAGACAGTTCCATAATTTCGGGGATCCCCCACCTGGAGGCACCTCATGATCCATGTTTCTTCCTCAACATTGTCAGTTTCAGTGCATGGTGATGTACTAAGAACGTTTGATCAAGAACATCTTCAATTGTCGATGAGATAATTTTTGTGCTTGTCTGCCTGCACGACGTGCTGGGTGATCGATGTTCCGAACACACTAAAAAATTTAAGCAAAAAGAACATTGTGACCTTGCCTATTTCCGTCGGTTTTTCAGGAGGATATCCCTCTGGAAAAACTAAGTCAACTCCGGTTCATGATCACCAGTTTAGCACGATCTTGGAGCGAACGTCATCAGATTCTGATCGGAGAACTTGCATGTCTGACATAGTGACAACAGCTTGTAGCTCAATGATGATTGTGGAATTTGAATTTGTAGTATTATATCTATCATATTAATGCCAGAGCCAGCCTAAGCCTATTTTTAAGAAGAGGGTGTCTGTCTCATCTGTCCTCTTCTCTTCTAGAAGATTTTGTTGGCGTACTAGTACTATAGTTTTATCGTACCTGCTGAATCTGAAACGAATTCAAATAACATCTCTTATCGAGAAACTGGAATGAGAGTAATGTGGACAACACGGTTCTAACTAGGTTTCTCATAATAAATTGATAACTTATTTGTTTTACCTCCTCCTTCCCGCCCAAACGAGTCTCCCCTCCAAATCCAATAGCCTTTCTTTTTGATGACCAAGATAGAAGTCAAGATGAAGGCAATATCACTTCTTGTCGCTTTCTTTCAATTTGTTAGAGGTTGAGGTTCTGTTTCTCACATTCACAACAGGAGAGAACCACGTAAGAAAACTTACTGACTCAGGTACTCAGTCGTGATGTACAACTATGTTATGCGGATGAGAAGCATAATTTCTACTTCTAGGGACACGATGAACATGTTGTTGTCATTATCTGGTAGCACTGGTGAAAATTAGATCGTATTTTCCACGACTGGCACTGGCACATATTGATATCTCTATTTGAACAACAGTCTGCTAGTACATCACTGTTGTACCTAGTATAGCGCGCGTAAAAAATGTCGGTTTTGCTTCAGCAGGCTGGCGGAAGTTCCGCTTCGACGAGGCATTGGCCACTCTATGCGCAGGAGGAGTATGAGACCAAGGTTCGTCCCATTAAGGGTAGGTTAAAGGTGCTTTTCTTACCGCTTTTTATGCCTCTCCTAAGGGAGAAAGGCATAACAAGCGGGGTAAGCGAGCACCAAAAACCTACCTCTAATCCCAGCAGTCGCGACCAGCACCAAGGTTCGTCCCAGCACGGACAGGGGCAAGGAACAGGAGCGTCATCGATTCATAAGCTGTACCAAGCCTATCGCGCTGAGGGAATGCGCAAGTCCTTTCAGTGCGTTCCGCTGTGCTTCAACGCGGAGGGACACGTCTGCGTCATCCTGAAAAAGAAACGAGATGGGACGCTCAAATTGCTTGGTGGGAAACTGCGGGCACACGAGAGCTTGCGCGAGGCTGTGGCGCGAAAGATCAACGGCATAATATTTGCGCCAGAAACGCAGAAAAAGGGAGCGGAACCACCTTACAAACTTGGGGAATTGCTCAGTGTCTGGTACTAAGATTTCACTTGCAGTGCTGTGCTGCCAGAGCCAGTTTTATGTTAAATCTTCATCACACATCAAGATGTCGTCGTGCTGCTAGTTCATCATCTTTATCTTTATTTACAGTTCTTGTTATTTCTTCATGTCCTCCATCGATCCAGGTACCGATGCAACTTCGAGGATCTGCTGCTCCCTTATCTTCCCTTGCACGAAAACAGACCCAAGGAGAGAATAGAGGTGTACCAATTGGTGCTGCCACAGCGATGCACCTTTCAAGTAACGCAACAGTTGGACACGCTGCCACTGCATGACCTCCAAGCTGAATGTCCGGTCCTGGCGTCTCTACCTGCCACACTGTCCAAATTTGCGTTGGACAGGATGGAAAGGGAAGCATAGGCCGTGTAGCTATCAGGATGGAAAGGGAAGCATAGCCATAGGTCGTGTAGCTATTTCGAAAACTCAAAATAACCGAGTTAGTGACTGAAATAAGGGAGGTAGCTTAACGCCAAGGCTACTCTTCCTTCCCATCAGTATCTCGGTTATTCTGATCAGTTACTTGCTAACTTAAGTTTTTCGAACTACGTGGTCATTGGAATATATGCTGCTGGTGATTTTGGTACATTTTGGTTCATCTTCGCATATCAAAGGAGCAAAATCTCCCCAAGAAAAAGAATGGAGCTAAGTACTTGTTTTTATCACGATCCTGTTTTCACCCTCCCCCGGGCAAGCTTCCAACATTTTTGACATGACATCGACCAAATCCCCAAGAAGCACCCACTTCAAGAAGTCATAAGAAAATTTGTTGACGCGATCGACAAAAAAGTTGTTGCTTTTAACCGTGTAAAAAATGTAAATGTTGATCTTAAGTAGTTGAACTGTTCTTGTTCAAACTGAACCGAGGACTTGCATGGTGTTCTTGTTCGAGAACAAGAACTATCAGCATATTATATTTTTTTTACTTTTACTTCATACGTGTCTAGTTGTGAGTCCGAGCAGAGAGGCGATCCTGTAAGCAAGAAGATTTTGCTGAAATGAGTAGGAGTTGAGGACATCCTAAGCATCTAGCTAGCACTGGTGTGGTGTGATTTCAAATTGATACTGAATGGACGCCATAGATCCCGATACAAGAAGTCGGAATATTCGTTTTTACAGTAGAAGTCGAATCTTCTAGTTTTTTGATCCCTTCATCAACATGCCGCCTGCCTGTGAAAAGGAGGCCGATGCGCTCATCCGGTGCGCGCAGAGACCAAGTAATACGTTTCCTTCCTACCTACTGCTTGGGCTTGCGTAACTGTTCTAAGGATTGTGTGTACTGTGTGTCATTGCGTCGAGCAGTAGTTGAAGAGTTCAACAAGATACATAATTTTTTACAATCTGCACTTTCATCCAGCAGACACCAGATGATGTACCAGTAACTACTTACTTGACTTCTCAATTACAAGCTTTGTGTATGTTTATTTCTTATTCACACCTCATGAAAAAACTGAACAGCATCGGATGGATGTGCTACTGCCTTCGTTGCGATGCGAGAGTGCAATCGTGGTTCAGTAGAAATGAAATTTGGACCATCATCAATGGAAATGCTATCGTCTGCGTTGTATGATGTCGCGTCTGCACCAAGACCACCGGCGAGAAGCTCTGGCAACCTAGCAGCAGCAGCTGACGCTTATGCAAAAAAATTGCAAATTACAGAAGGCGCAGCGGGAGTCCGATTTTGAAATAGCTTTATCACACGGCTGTTTTCGCTGAATAGTACTACAACAACAGAATCAAAGCAGAAGCATGGTTGACATAGTCTTGTTCTTGGACGAGGCTCTTTTGGCGGAATCGGAATGTGTGATTTCCAAAATTTTTTGTGACTTCAAGGCCATTATCTTCCCTCACTGGCACCACCGATTTTCTTGCTGATGTTGTCTTCAGCTGCCGTGGACCTGTAGCTTGTGTGTTTTGACCAGGTGTGCAAGAAGAGCGGATGAAATCAAAATCTGGTTTTGGCCATGGCTTGGCCAGGTGGCATATTTATTATTTTTGACATTTGATATCGGTCGACTACTAACTCTGAGCGAAATATCGGGTGGTACCTCCTAGCCTAGTAGTTTTGACTCTCTGATATGATTTTCTTGATGACGTAGCTGCAAATACATCTAATGTATGAAGAAAAAATCACTGTTCTTCTTCTTACCTTGTGTATTCCTGTTTCTTTGATGTTGATTTAACTAAATTTTTTCTCGTTCTTTGCTTGCATTGATGACCCCTATATTTAAGCGGCCACGCATGGATGGGATGTTTGTATTCGGTTTTGCTCTTCGCCTGGTTCTTCTTCTTTCGTGTAGGTGGAAACAAGTGGAACGATGATTTCGTTGGCAGTGAATTAGAGCGGAAGGAATTCTTCGAAGATGCAGAGGGCCTGTCAGATCCAGATAACGACGATGCCCCCCGTAGCCCGAGTACCACCAGATCCTTGACCGCCGGAGGTGGAGATCTCCAAGTAAATGGGAACAGCCTTAGCAGTAGTTTCCCGTTTCCGCCTCCGTCTGCCTTCCAAAATGGCAACCCAGCGTGTTTTGAGGATGGCGCGTTTACGTACGAGGAATGCTGTTCTGATGGCGGGAAAGACGCGTGTTGGGATGAAGTGTATAGTTTTGACGCCTGCTGCTTTCCACCCCGCGTGAACGAAACTGACCGGGCGACGTTGTTTGGATGCAACAGCCCCTTCTTCCGAAACTACCGACGCGACGCGTGGATCTACTTCAAGTTTGGGGAGACGCATCCCCGAATGTTCCAGGCGCACGCAAAGGCAGTCGCGAACTGGGCTACACACAAGTCTCTCTGCCCGCCCGCCATCTTGGTCACGATTCTGGTTAAGCTCGAGGAAGACTTAGCGATGAAGCCACTCCACAATGCGTTTTTGGGCATGCTAGAATACACCAAGCAACTGCAGGATATGGTGGATCTTCGTGCTTACAGCTTCTTTTTTATGTAGGAATTTACACCAGAACCAGAAGTAGAGCTCAGAAGTTGTGACAATCGTTCTGAGTCTGCTTCTGCAAGCTTCAAATAAGTATCTTCATGAGAAGATCGATCGTGATTGAATAAAGCGAGGAGTCAGCAACGACCTACAAGATGCCAAGTCTCAAGGAGCGCATGAAGAATGCGCGGCGCGTCAATACAATACAAGAACGCCATTTCTAGACTAGAAAAACAGGACGACTTGCTAATTTACTTCTTCTATACCCCATGATTGGGCACCCTACTACTTCTACTATGTCAACATCACAGATGAAGCTTGGTCGCATCGGCGAAAAGGAGTTTAGGCGGTGGCCATTGGAGCTTGGCTGGAACCATCTAAGAACGGTCCTACCACAAGGCACAAAGCATGCAAACTTCATGGCGCAGTACCATACCCGGAAGCGAAACGTGGAGCTAGTTATTCTTATGAAAATGCGCATGAACTGTCTGAGAAAGGAACGGCGATCGTGGGGCATCTATTTGTGGTTCAATTAGACCCGCCTGCTCAGCTAGAAGTAACTTCTAATTTGTCTTATTGCAAAGAAACGGTGGAGCGGATTTCCGATTGGTTTCGAACTGCGTTCACAAGGTTTACGAAATCTCATCTCACTGTCACGGTGGTGATGAAGTGCGGTGATAGCCCAAAGTTACGCGAGGTCCCCAAGCGAGTGTTCAATCACACCAAGCAGATTCATTTCCTAGAGATTGAAGATGAGGATGTGCGAGGCGACGAATGCAGCGGGTATATTTTTGTGTTTACACTCATTGTTGGTCATGCTTGTGTCGGCGATGGCGTAGGAATGTCTTGAAAGCAAATAAAAGTCCAACCCCAAAAGGAATGTGGGAGCATCGCCAATTTTCCAAATTAGCATCAAAGTCTAGTATCGACCACTCTCCTGAAAAAGTCTTAGGAGCAAAAACTGCCATCCCAAACGTAGAGCGGGAGAGTCGCCATTTTTAAAAATTTGTATAGAATTTCAGTTAGAGCGGGAGAGTCGCCATTTTTAGAAATTTGTCTGGAGTTTCTTCAGTGTCAAAAACGCACTTCATCACAATTCTTCTCAACGTTCAGGTATTTCGGATTCCTCGAGAACCGGTATACTTCGCTCGCGGAGTACACCATGTTCGTGCACCCTGATGCGGATGAGCACATCATGATAAACGTCGACAGCCAGTTTGATCCACCACCAAACATGCACCCCGCAATTTTCGAGGCTGACCCGATGGTGCGACCAAATCCGGCGTATGGCGAAGCTCTGAAAAAGCTTCAATCGGAGGGCAGGGAGCACGATGAGGAGGCACGTTTGGAGCTGCCTCCACGATTTTTACGCAGAAAAAGCATGGGCTCGGAAAACATTCTAGAAGCGGTATTGAACGCAGCACTAGTGGGAAACATACCGAACCTGGGATTTCAAAACTTGGCGTTATGAACATCAAAAGGCTAGAATTACAATCTTGATGTCCTAAGCGATTTGTTCCGTCCAATTTTCTCGTGCTTACTTATGTTATAAGTAGGCCCCTGCTGATTGATGTCGTTTGTTATTCGTCAGGATGAAGTGCCTGAGTTTGAGTTTATCATCTTCATGACGTGCTTGCTCTTATCCATTCCTTTTCTTGGAGCAAGATTTTAGTATTACCTTGCATTAGAGCAGTTTGTTAGTGTTTCCTTCATGTTTGCACAATCGAGACACGAGTTCCTTAGAGCATCCTGCGACCACCGAGCTCTACAAAAAGTTGTTCAAGACGAATCTGCGGCCGCCAGTAGCGCCACGGTCTTACTGCTGTTCGCATTTTATTGTCAGCCGCGACCGCGTACAACGTCGGCCGCAAAGTTTCTACAGGGACGCCCGGTTGCTCTTCACCACGAACAAGGGCTACACACTCAGTCCATTTCCACGGCCTATGGCTTGGGATTTGAAAGCAAGGACGCTGTGTCAAAATATGATGAAGTTCTGGCATCTAGTATTTGGACATCCAAACTTGCGCACGCCCCTCAGGCATCGAGACACCACTGTGCCGTATTTCCTCAAAGGCAGGAACTTCAAGCCACAGTATGAGAACGAGTGAAAGAACTCTTTCTTGTAGACGCAGCTTCGCGAAGGGTTAAAATTCATACTATATATCATAAGTACGCAAGAATTGCAATAGAATAAATGATCGAGACGCCTCAACGTTTCAACTTTTCTACTTGCGAAGATATTTCGGACGCAGACTCGTCATTCAAACAACTCACCAACTGCAACTAATGACAGACTTTCCACCAACTTACTTACGTTCTTGGCTCCCAATCTTAGCATGGAGACTTCGACTTGATTCAATATTCGTTACGGTTACAACTAGTTCAAGGATTTATTTTTCTACAGCGACTGACATGGGTCGCATGTAGTAAAACATGATCGCAATTGCAGAAGGAAAATTTCTTCTCTGACTATCGGACTAAGTAGTTTGCCACCAGTTTCCTTTCGGAAGATTTTTCTTTTTCATACAGTTTTCGTTTTGTTCTTGTCACATGATCGAGTTACATACAAATTTATCGAATAGGACACTCAAGATCAAGAAAAACAAGCGCGATCCAGTAGCATAAAAAGATACTGCAAGATGATCATGTAGAGCCAAGTACAACTAAGTACCCACGAACGACATGAAGATCATCCGATCCGCAGACTATATACTGACGAAGATCTAAAGAGGGATCCTAATCCGAAAAAAATTGTGAGTGCGAGCATTTACGACCAAACAAGAGCTCTTATCTTATAATAAACCTACCAGTCGTGACCGAGATCAACATCTCAAAAAATCAAACATCACTGATTGAAGATCAGCATGCGCAAGATCTAGAAAACCGATCGTCTATTAAGGAGATTATCTCGACTACCTCTAAAACTCGATACAAGTTTTCGAGAAAATACAGCTGGCGCAGGTTTGTTTGCAAAGAAAGACATAACTTTTACTAGGCATTGTAGTCAATCGAAAAATTCAACATTCTGTGAGGTAACTGAAGAGCATCGATCGAAACTCATCAATCCCGTCTTCATACTTACAACTCTTACAACGCAAGCGTAGTTTGTGTTAGTCTTTCCCTCTTGAACTCAAAAAGCAAGACTATAGCCAACTCTCAGTAAGTATTCAATATAGAAGATTATCCAGGTTTTTATCATCCTTCAAAATACCTTACCGCCCTACTCATTGTCATTCTTGTAGTTCTAGACTCATACATCTACTTTCGAATAGGAATAGAAATACTAATAGAGATATTTAAACATAATTTAGTCCACGTCCGCCTCCAACGTCGGAAAATAAGCAGAGGTAACTTGAAGTTCCCCGACAAGAAGAATCCACTGAGTAAGAAGCCGATCATCTCCAGTGAAATTTTTTGTACACTCGTTCTTCGTCATATTAGCTTCAGGAGCAAGAGTTTATACTAATTCATCTTACTCGTATTTTTTTTAGCCTTACATACAGTTGGCAGCTTACCATGAACAATCACGGAGGTGAGCCCGTCTATTCTCCACGCGACAGCCGCACAGGCCCGCTTTACCAGGTCGCAGCGCCCTGTTCGCCCGTCGGACCGTATTACGCAGCTGCCGGCCATCCTCCGTCTGGTGGCCAGCCCTCTATTATTGCGAGCCCCTACATGGTTGTGCAGCAAGGCCCCCATTGTCCTCCGGTGCTGTACCAGCCCGCATATCCACAGGGAGTAGACCCGGCTTACGACCCTGCCGCATTTCAAAGCCCGGCATATCATCCACAACAGCACCGTGGTCGCGATTTCCCCGCCGATGCGCTTTTTGGATATGATCAAGATGACGGTCTGCATGACCACGATGACAATGACGACGACGGCGAGGATGATCCTAGCCACGACGTTGCGGAACTCGAGGACGGGCCGCAGGGACAAGGCAAGGCAAAAAGCCGCTCTTGCGTCGCATGCGCAACTCTGGTGGACACAGTCGGACGGTTCATCGGGCTCCGAGAACGCGAAAGTAAGAAAGCAGTCTTGATCCGCAACCTGAAGCGCCTCCTCTCTCCGGAGCAGGAAGCAAAAAACTGGACGCGGCTTGGCTTCACCGGAACGGTGCTCTTACTGCTCTTCCAACCGGTGGATCAACGCAACCAAAGCTTGGATCGTGTTTGTGCCGGCTTGCGTGAGTTGGGTAGCTATTTGATGATTTCGAATCTGGTCGGTATTTCCTTTGCGCCTGACTCCTCTGAGGGCAGCCGCATGGTCGCCTTGCTTGAAGAGTTAGTTCAGGTGACGGCCAAGGTGGGTGTGCAGTCCTTGGGAGCAGAAAAGCTGGTCGACACATCCCCTACAACATCATTGCCAGTGCTTCCACCCGACGGCGGCCTTCGAACGAGAGGTGTCGGAGCACCCCCGCGGCCTTACTTGTCTACTCCTCCTCCTCCTAGTGGCAATAGTTTTAGCCCGAGCCAGCCTTATGAAGCCGAGCCTGTCCTATCAAAAGCAGACGAGGCGGCGGTTGTAATCGCGGCTTTGAAGGACCCGCACAGCGCTTTGGGGATCGCACCGCGTGCAGAGCAAGATGTGAGTGTTTCTATGGCGACGCTTATGAGCACCATGGTGAAGCTGACTATGTGGCTTTCGTCCACTGTGATGTTGCTAGGTCTGGTGCTGCTCTACCACATCAAGCAGCTGCTGTGGCAGCAGATTATTCAGAGGCGCGACCACAGCAGTAAGCGCTTCGTGGCGGTGGACTACGCATCAATCCTGATGAACATTGGCTGTTATGGTTAGCTTTTATCCATCTTTCTCGGCATCTTGGTCCTCCCCTTTTGTCTTGCATTCTCATAAAATACAAGGGGAAAGGGGTCAAGAGGAGCAGGGGACCAAGATGGATCAAAGCTGATTCTAAGGCTGGGCAGCATATCTTATTGTGCTTGGAGTGAACATGGTCGTGTGGGCAATCCCGATGTCCATCGTCGCTCTCAACGTGGTGTGGTGGCTGCGCATGATCCTCATCGCGATTTGGCTCAGCGTCTACCTCTCCTTGGCAACGCGAATGCAGCGCATGTTCTACGAAACAAGCCCTCTGCTACTTCTGCACTACCCGTACTTGGGAACCTTTGACCTCGGCGGCTATCTGCTCTACGTCATATTCGTCGACAAGGCAAAGCTGCGAGCCAGAGCGGTCAAGCAGGTACACCTTACATCGATGTATACATATTTCCTAGTTGTCAGGCTGGCTCCGCCACTCTATAAATAGCTGATGATCAGGCACTTACCTCCATTTTCATTGCGGTAACATCGATACAAAAGATGAATTAGAAACTTTTATTGTGAATTATGTACTCCTGGACAGGAGGAACAGGAAGCGCCTCTGTCTTACTGTATCGATGAAGACGCGTTAGCAGCTGAGTTTATTTCACATAAAAAGAGGCTATACCCCGCGAGTGGGTACGTCAGTCAATCAATCAACCAATCAATCACTCAACCAATCAATCAGTCAACCAATCAATCAGTCAATGCATCGGCCTCATGATCTCAATCTCATCAAAGTAAAGACTCTTGCTTCATCTCGTGCACAACAGCACAGAGTTGTATCATGCATCCATGTGATCAGCAAGTAAGGACAATCATCTTGTCCCTATACAACTTATTTGCAGGTACACGAGCTGTTAGGACACGATCTCGCACAGGCTGAGGATACTGCGTTCTTTGTGCTACAAAACTGTCCCGAGATTATCGAAGAGTGGTGCGCAAACTATGGAGCGGAGATGCAAGAGTTCACAGGGGACGGAGAATGCCAGCCCTGTGCTGCCCTCCTGGCGACGAAGGACAGGATTCCTGGGACCAAGGATGATGAAGAACAACAAGGCGGAAGTCAGGGGTTCTCGAACGGAGGTGGAAGCCCGAGTGGCCTTCTCGCGACCCAACTAGCACTCTCCAACGCTGGCACAAGCGTTGCTTCTGCGAACAAGCAAGGCAACTCTTCGGGAGCAGGCTACTCACAAGGTGGAGGACCGCAGGAGGCCACTGTGATGCAAAGAGTGCTGACCGAGACTCCAACGACGGCAGGTGGAGCAGGAGTTACTCCGGACTCAACACCAGGAGGAGCTGCAGAACAACAGCCCGGATCTGGTGCAGGAGCAGCAGTAGGCCAGAATACTATTAATGTTCCGCCACCAGCTGCAGCGGTCGTCGAAACCGATATTTACGCCCCTATGCTGCAGCCGACGCAGAGTCAAACCCGAGGCATGAGCGCTTCGGTGGTGATCCGCAGTCCTCGAAATACGGACTGCAGCTCGCGGCTGAGTCAGCGCAGCAGCCTGTTGCAGGTGCCCCAAGGCTACGGAATGTATCCCGCGGTCGGTGGTCCACCGGGGGCTGCTGGCAGAACGGGCGGAAAAGGAGGAGGCTTCTCTTTGAGTGCGTTCTTGCAACAGTACAGGCCTTCCATGATGCAACGCGTAGCTCGCCAGCGCCATCAGGACGCTACGCCACGCTTGCAGTCGCATGCGGAGTCAGAACTATCTCAACGCGGAAGCACTGTTGAGCAGGGGGACGGGCAGGCAGCAAATAATATAAACATTGCTCGAGGAAGTGACAGGGAGTCAGCGTCGCAGAACACTAGTGGCAATATGGTTCCTAGAGCAGATGGCACTAGATCTGTCGCGTCTCGCAATAGCGCGCGACAGCAGGCAGGGGCAGGTGAAGCGACAGAAACTCGTGGCAACGCGATGCAGAGCGCTGCTCCAGAAGAGAGCCAACGTCTGCTCGATGACGCAGATGAGAAATGAAAATCTGATCTTCATCACTAATGATGAGAATTTACTATATATGATTATACTAGCTTGGCGCGTCCGATAACATCCCTCCCACTAGGATCCCCCTCCTCCCCAAAATAAGAAACGAAGCAAGGCAAAGATGTAAGCGATATGCGTTCTCAAATTTCGAAAATTTTCCACGTTTTGCCATCGTTTGAGGATTGGGCCTCGTGCGTTTGAAGCCAAGGGCTAAGATCCCGAAACTTTTTGACTTTATGCCGTGCCGCTGAAATTCAACTTCCTGGATTTGCGTTCTTCAAATTTCGAAAATTCTCCACGTTTTACGGTCGTTCTGGGATTGAATTTTGTGCGTTTGAAGCGCTAAAGTCCCAAAGTTTTTGAATTTCAGCCCTTTCCCTGCGGTTCAGTTTCTTGGATTTGCATTTTTCAAATTTCGAAAATTTTCCACATTTTGGCGCCGTTTTGGGGTTGAATTCTGTGCGTTTGAAGTGCTAAAGTCCCAAAGTTTTTGGTCTTAAGTCCTTCCCCGGAGATTCAACCTCTTGGCTTCGCGTTTTTCCAATTTCGATAATTTTCCACGTTTTTCGTCGTTTTGGGAGTGAATCCCGTGAGTTTGAAGCGCTAAGATCCCAAAATTTTTGATTTTAAGCCCTTTTGCTGAAATTTAATGCCTTGGCTTCGCGTTTTTCAAATTTCGAAAATTCTCCCCGTTTTTTCGTCGTTTTGAGCTTGCGTCTCGTGAGTTTGAAGCGTTGAGATCCCAAAATTTTTGATTTTAAGCCCTCTGTCTGAGATTCAACCTCTTGGCTCCGCGTTTTTCAAATTTCGAAAGTTTTCCACCTTTTTCGTCATTTTCGGAGTGAATCGATTGACTTTGAAAGGCTAAGATCCCAAAATTTTTGATTTTAAGCACTTTCGCTGGAATTTAATTCCTTGGATTCGCGTTATCAAATTTCGAAAATTTTCCACGTTTTGTCGTCGTTTTGTGGTTGAGTTTGAAGCGTTAAGATCCTAAAATTTTTGATTTTAAGCCCTTTCCTTCGAAATTCAATTCCGTCGCTTCATGGTTTCGCGGTTTCATGGTTTCGTGGTTTCGTGGTTTCGTGGTTTCATGGTTTCATGGTTTCATGGTTTCATGGTTTCATGGTTTCATGGTTTCATGGTTTCATGGTTTCCTGGTTTCCTGGTTTCCTGGTTTC